GTGTGTTCAGTGGAGAGGAGGGAGTGAGGTCTGGGTGTGTTCAGTGGAGAGGGGGGACTGAGGTGTGTGTGTGTGTTCAGTGGAGAGGAGGGAGTGAGGTCTGGGTGTGTTCAGTGGAGAGGAGGGAGTGAGGTCTGGGTGTGTTCAGTGGAGAGGAGGGAGTGAGGTCTGGGTGTGTTCAGTGGAGAGGAGTGAGTGAGGTCTGGGTGTGTGTGGTTCAGTGGAGAGGGGGGACTGAGGTCTGGGTGTGTTCAGTGGAGAGGGGGGACTGAGGTGTGTGTGGTCAGTGGAGAGGAGGGAGTGAGGTGGGTGTGTTCAGTGGAGATGAGGGAGTGAGGTCTGGGTGTGTTCAGTGGAGAGGAGGGAGTGAGGTCTGGAGTCTCTCTCACCCGGCCTGCTGTGGGTTTGTCCTCTGGCTCTGTCCCAGTGGCCCGGTGTCCACCACTGTTTTATCAACAGGCCGGTGTTCATTGAGCCTGAGAACCCACAGCCACTTCATATAAGGGTAAAACAGCCCCAGTATCGCCTGATCCTGTCTGTGTGTACTCTCAATTCAGTTCAACTCAAGGTGCTTTATTGGCATGACCAATGAGTAAAGTCATTGTTGCCAAAGCAAAACAAATACAATTAACATAAAACAAAATCCTACAGACATTTACAATAAAGGACGTCATAAGGTATTTACATATAAACATATAGGGCATTACTGGGAGACAGGCTCACTGTTCCTCAGGCTGTGACAGGAGATCACATACTGGGCTGCCAGTTCAGCTGACTTCCCTCCTCCCTCTCCCAGTAGGATTGGGAGTTGTGATTCTGGCAGGTGTGGGAACTCTGGGATTAGATGTGTAAATCTGGGGGTTTTGTACTCTCTCTGACTCTCCCTGGTGCTGTGTCTGGATCTGTACCTCCCTCTCTGACTCTCCCTGCTCCTGTGTCTGTACCTCTCTGGCGTCGCTGCAGATATCAGCGTAGTGCCCGTGATCCCCTGCCTGTCTGACACCTGCCTCTCCCCATGTCCCCAGCAATGGCACCAGTATGATCTCCCTCATCATCCCCCCGAAGGACCAGATCTCCCGAGTGGCCAAGATGCTGGCGGACGAGTTTGGCACTGCCTCCAACATCAAGAGCCGAGTCAACCGGCTGTCTGTGCTGGGAGCCATCACCTCTGTGCAACAGAGACTCAAGCTCTACAACAAAGGTGTGGCAGTTCGGTCCTCTGCCCAGACGCTGCTGCGTGGCTCGGCATGTGCACCAGCGCTCAGAGTTACAGTTGACCTCTTTTGGTGACTGAGGGCATAT